CGAAAAACGAAAAACATATCGAGCTAACCCTAATTAATTTATCCTTACTTTTTTATATGCATATACCCACATAATAATTTCCAGATTGCCGCGTGCAATTTAAATTGCTGCTCTTTTGCACCTTTCCTGTAACAACTGTATACCGTTAACTGTGTATCTCCAGTTACACATTTATAAAAACTTACATTCACATTTAATTTTACGTTTTTAAGTCTATTCAGGTTGGAGGGGGGGGATTGAGGTGTCAGCTCAACGAGGAACTAATTAATATTTAAAACTCAACCACCAAAACTACATGAATTCACAGATAATCTTAGCTAATGGGACGTTACCTAAGTCAGAAAAGCAGGTCAGAGATGGCGGACGCCGTAGTGAAGAACGAATATATTGTATCAATTGACACTGATCAACCATCATATTAAAAAAATAGGAATCAAATAGAGAATAAGTTACGTTTCCATCTCATTTATGTTTCTCCTTTATTGAGATTGTGATTATAATCATTTTATGTTATCATCATTACTATAATTATGACTTTATTTGTCATCATTATGATAATTAGTATTTTTTGTTCTCATCTTTACCATTTTGTAGAATGCCCAAATATTACTTTTAATAACTCTTGGTACATAATTTCTGTGGATGGATGGTCCTGGCAGTGGAGCAGAGACGACTGCCGAAGGCAAGGAGGGGACCTAGTTTCCTTTGAAACCGAAGAGGAATGGAATTTCATCAATGATGAGATTCAAAGGCGAAATACTAAGAACTATAAAAATAAATGGAGTATTGGTTTATTTAAAAAAAAAAACACCGGAAAATGGACCTGGGTGAGTGAAAGACCACTGACTATTTACAAATGGGGAAAAGGGGAGCCAAGAGGTGAACACCGCGTGGCTTTCATGTATAAGCGGTCTAGTAATGGACAACGAGGCGTGTTCGGTAGTGTTGAAGATAAAAGTACGCAAAAGATGCACGCTTATATTTGTGAGATTTCTAAGGGTGAGTTGATTTTTTGTCGTTGTTGTTGTTTTTAATGTTATTTCGATTAACTTAAAAAGCGCCAGAAGCGCTTAAACGTCATATAAGATACATGCAAATTATCACTTTATAAAATGGATACAAAAGACTTGCAGGTGTTCTTCGCATAGAGGAATCAATTTTGTGTTTCCTGTATTCTATTTTAATATCCGATCGTTTGAACCTTAAAGTTGTAGGAGCTAATTTCAATGCAATGCAAAATGTGCAATGAACATAATAAAATGACCGTGCTGCATCTAATTCAAATATGGCGGACATTTCGATCGACTTAGGGTGTGGTTCTTTGTTTTTCCGTGAAAGACGTAGAGGCGCATTCGTCTTGCAAATTGTTCAAAATCTCGCATGAGTTGTCGCCTAATTTTAC